AACGTCAGCTTTCCTGCTGCTCTGATGCTGCTTGGCCTGCTTTGTTCATCCAGCTCTGCACCTTGTTATCTCAGATTCTCCAGCATCTGCAGTTCCTACTATCTCTGAAACAATTTTTTTGGTATTCGTGCTTTGTGACTTTAATAGCAATCTCCATATTTTATATTATCATCATTATTTTAACAATCCTGTATCCATATCACCTACATTTTGTTTTATACAAGAAAAGGCTTTGGAACAACTCAGAGACTCTGAGTAATATTAACTCCAGATAGGCTTATATGTCGATGACCATCTTGAGTTATACAGTAGAAATTGGCTTTTGTAGAAATAAAAGTTTCTTTTTCCCCCCCCCAAAACTGCCCACTTAACTGGAAGAGCACAATGTTTCACAGTGAACCATGTCTTTGATTATGATCAATGTCAAATGGACACAATACCTTTTGCTAACTTTCTTCCTGTTAATAATGTACTTTTAGAATTGGTAACATGGAGGACAGGCTTGAAGCATGTTACTGCTATAATGACCTACGCTGTAGAGTAGAAAACTTACAATTTTTACCTGTAATTTCATCTCCTATATTTCATGTTGGGTGTGAATTATTGGTTGAGCAAACAAAGGGAAATGGTCTTGGTACTGAATACAAAATCATAAGAGCAGTCCATTGAAGTTATCTTTCCAGAAACAAGATTTCTTGACCTGATGTAAAAGAGCTTTTTGAGAATTTGTTAACTTTGAACTGGTATTGCATACTGCTGTGGTGCTGACTTGAGCAACAATGGCAGAAACTTGAAGGCAAATTGCCTACTTCCTGTCTCTCGACTGAATAATTGTTCATGTCAAAATGGAGGCTCCAGAGAGGCATAGGCATACGTTTCCAATAGAAAATGTAAGGTACAAACATAATATATTCAGATTGGATAATATCCGCAGGGGAATTACACCAGTAAATTAATTTATTTCTTAGATTGATGCATTCGTGAGTAATATCAACCTATCTAACCATTCCTTCTAAGATAAGCCTTTCATCACAGGAATCTTAAAAAAAAAGCCTTCTTGAACTGCTTCTAATGCATTTATTTCCTTTCTTGAGTATATCAAAACTATACACAGTACTCCAAATGTGATCCTACTGACGTCCTGAATAACTGTAGCAAAACCTCCCTTTTCAATTTCCCTTGTAAAAAATGGCAACATTTCTTTCCTAATCACATACTGTATCTGCACACTAATTCTTTGTCACCCAGATTTCTGTTTACTGCAGAATACTGTAACCTCTCGCCATTAAAATAATTTTCTGCTTTTTATTCTACCTGCTAAAGTGGACAGGTTTACATTTTCCCACATTATACTCCATGTGCCAATTTTGTGCCCACTCACTTTATCTATAACCCTTTGGAGACTTGCTTTCTTGCCCATCTAAGTGTCATCAGCATATGCACAAACATACATTTGTTCCCCTCATCCAAGTCATTGACAAAGATTGTAAATAGTTGAGGCCCCAGCGCTGATCCTGTGGCACTCCACACGTTACTACTTGCCAACCTGAAAATGGCTGTTTATCTCTATTTTCTTTCCTGTTAGTTAACCAATTTTGTATCCATTCTAATATGCTATCTCTCACACCTTGAACTCTTTTGCATGATAACTTTGATGTGGCACCTTGTTAAATGCCAATACATACACCTACAAGTCCCCCTTTAACTACCTTGCTTGTTACTCTCTCAAAGAACTCAAATAAATTAGTCAGACATTATTTCATTTCACAAAATCATATCGACTATGTAATTGCATTAAGATTGCTTCAAAGACTATTACTTCCTTAACAATAGGTTTTTGCATTTTCCCTCTAATAGATGTTAGGCTAACTATTCTGTAGTTTCCCACTTTCTGTCTCACGCCTTTTTTTGAATAGAGCAGTTACATTTTATTATTTTCCAATTTAGTTGGTCCTTGGAAGAATTTAGGAACGGTTGGAAAATTGCAATTAGTACATCTACTCTCTAAGCAGCCACTTAATCTAAGACTCTAGGATACAAGCCATCCGATCCTGACGACTTGTCAACCTTTGGTTTAAATAGTCTTCTCAATATCTTTTATCTGGTGGTTATTGTTATTTTGATCTCCCCTTTCCCATTCATCTCTTGATTTTGAAGTATTTCCAGTATGTTATTTGTGTCTTCTGCACTGAAGACATACACAAAATATCTGGTCAACAGTTCTGCAATTTCCTTTTTTTCCCATTATTAATTCTCATTTTCACTCTGTAGAGGACCAACATTCATGTTAGTTGCACTTTTCCTTGTAAATACTCATGGAAATTCGTGCTATCAGTTTTTATATTTCTAGCTAGCTTTCCATCGTACTGTAATCCTTCCTTCCCAATTTTTTGGCTATTATTTGATGGTTTTAAAATTCTTTCTTTCATTCATTAACGGAATGAGGGCGTCACTGGCCAGGCAGCATTTATTACCCATCCCTAATTGCCCAGAGGGCAGTTAAGAGTCAACCAGAGTGCTGTGGGTCTGGAGTTACATGTAGGCCAGACCAGGCAAGGCCGGCCGTTTCCTTCCCTAAAGGACATTAGTGAACCAGATGGGTTTTTCCCGACAATCAGCAATGGATTCATGGTCATTATTCCAGATATTTTTATTGAACTCAAATTCCACCATCTGCCGTGGCAGGATTCGAACCCGCATCCCCAGAATGTTTTCTGAGTCTCTGGATTAACAGTCCAGTGATAATACCACTAGGCCAGCAATTTCTGTTTCTGTTTCTGTCTCTTTCACTGTGAGTTCATTCATTAATCTTGTTATGTGCACCTCATCAGGTCCAGAATAAACTGCTCTCTGGTTGATTCTAGAATGTGCAACTTCAAGAAATTGCCCCAAAGCACTATGAAATCAACTTTCAAGTTCCTTTGTTTTATCAAGAGTTCCCTACTTTTATTCTGAATTCCCCTTGTAATGAAGGACAATATTGCATTTGCCTTCCTAATTACTTGCTATCCTAATATGCTAACCTTTTGTGAATATGTACAAAGGCCGCCTGATACCTATGAATTCTAACATTCTACAATCTACTCCACTTAATTATGCTGCTTTTCTATATTTCCTGCCGAAGTGGACAACCTCACAATTTCCCACATTATACTCTATAGGCCATTGTTTTTTGTCCACTCACTCAACCTATCTTTATCCCTCTACAGGCCTTTTGTAACTTCTTCACAACCCCCAGAAAGTCCTGCCATTGGTGCTCCACCATCTTGTCTGTTGGGCTTCCCTTACAATCAACTCTGACTAGCTCCTTCCTCATGTCTTTGTAGTTACCTTTGCTCAATTGTAATACCATTACATCTGATTCAAACTTCTCTCTCAAACTGCAGAGTGAATTCTATCATATTATCGTCACTGTCCCCTAAGGCTTCCATCACATTAAGAACCCTAATCGAGTCTGACTCATTACAAATGACCAAATCCAGAATCTCCTGTTCCCTAGTGGGCTCTGCCCCAAGCTCCAAAAAAAATCTTGTAGACATTTCATGAATTTCTTTTCTTGGGATCTGTGACCAATCTGATTTCCACAGTCCACCTGCATATGGAAGTTCTCTATGATTATTATAATAGTGCCTTTCTCACATACATTTTAAATCTCCTGATTTAGTTTCTACCCCATACATAACTGCCATCAGGGTCATTTTTTTTCTTTTACAATTCCTCAACTCTATCCACACAGATTCTCTGCCTTACAACCCTATACTGTTTCTTGCTATTGATTTAATTTCATTTCTTACAAACAAGGAAACTCTTCCACACTTGCCTATCCTTTCAATAGGATGAATATCCTTGAATATTTAGTTCCCAGCCCTGATCCTTCTGCAGCTATGACTCTGTAATGCCCACAACATTGTACTTGCCAATTTCAATCTGTGCTACAAGCTCATTTACTTTGTTTCTGCATGCATTTAAGTACGACACCCTCAGTCCTATGTTGACTGCGCCTCCCCTTCTCATAATTGTCCTCTTATCTGCTGTGCCTGCAGTTAGATTCCTACCCCTTTCCATACTCTCAGTCCTTTAATTTGTTCTGAAAACTTTTGTAACTTCTGTCCCCCATTTTAACTAGGTTCAAGTCCTTGTGACCATCCCATTTAGCCTTTCCGGTAGAATCCTGGTCCCTGATTGGTTCAGGTGAAGCCTGTCCCAACAGTACATTTCCTTCCTGTTGCAATACTGATGCTAGTGCCCCACAAAATGGAACCCCTCTTTCTTTTGGCCAAGTGTCCATTTCTCTAATTTTCTTATCTCTGTAGCAATTTGCACATGACTTAGGTAATAATCCAGAAACTATAAACCCTTGAGGTCCTGTTCTTTAATTTTGTTCCTAATTCCCAATATTCCTCAATTCTGACTTCTTGTCTACTCTTGCTTATGTTGTTGGTCCAATGACTGAATCCTCCCCCTTCCAATCCAAAATCCTTTCAAGCCAGTCAAAGCATGATATCTGTACCCCCCCGCCTAATGATAGAATCCCCTACCACAATTCTTTTTGCTCCCCTCACTTGAACGGGCTGTACCATGGTGCAGTGGCCCATCCTCCCCACAGCTCTTTTCCTCATCCTACACAGGGAACAAGTGCCTCATATCTGTCAGACAAGGTCAAGAGCTGAGGGGCAGAGCTCCAGAGGGTAAAGCCTAGATGGTTGAAGGCATGTTTGACAGTTTTTGGATGAAAAAGGGAAACATGAAAGAGAAATTGAGAGCTCTTGCATGTTGGAGTAGAGACAGACAATAAATTTAAACATAAACGATGAGGCATTTAGAAACTGGGAGCCAATGAAAGTCATTTAGGATGGAGTAATTAGATCACTATCTGCAACAAGATATAATTTGAGACACAGAATTTTGGAAGAGCTGCTGCATATTAATAGCAAAGGATTGAAACCCAGGCCAAGGTAGCACTGAAATAATTATTTTTAAAGATGATGAAAGCAGTAATGAGTGTTTCAACAGCAACCAGGCTAAGGCAGATGTACCAAAAATCAAAGTTATGGATGCAGATGTAGACAATCTCCATTACAGAATTAAATGGCATCCTGAACTTTTACAGATGCACCATAGAAAGCATTCTATCTGAATGCATAATGGCTTGGTAGAGCAATTTCTCTGCCCAGGACCATAAGAAAACACAGAAAGTGGTGTGCACAGCTGAGACCATCACAGAAGCCAACCTCCCATCCGTGGACTCCATCTACACTTCTTGTTGCAGCGGAAAAGCTGCCAACGCCTTCAAAGACTCCTCCCACCCCGGTAATACTCTCTTCCGATATCTTCCCTCAGACACAAGATTCAGAAGCTTGAATACACATGCCAACAGGTTCAAGAACAGCTTCTTCCCTGCTGTTATTAGACTGCTGAATGGACCTGTGTAATTTCACATGTAATGTTGACCTTGCTTCTCTGCACCTCCTGTGAAGTCATAACCTTGAATGCCTCGCTCAGTTTAAGCACCCTGTGAACCATATGACCTTGTTTGTTATGTTCTGTCAGTACTGCTTGCAAAACGGAACTTTTCACTGTACTTAGGTATATGTGACAACAATAAATTAAATCAAATCAAAATCATTTTACAGTTAAATATATTGCCATGATTGAAATTGGTCTAGTTCAATCAAGACAGTAATCAAAACAGGAGATACTATCAGTGGCAATGTTCTGCAAACTCCCAAAGTTTAACTGGAGCACACTGTGGTTCATCTAAGACTGCATTGGATTATAAATAAAGCCTTTGCTGTAGATGCTTTGGATATGATTAGATAGGTATGCGTGGGATCAAGCAAGGGTAGCTCCAGAAATATGGACAGAGGAAGGTAGGCAATGAAAGAGGATGTTATGGTCAGTCTTGTCAAAGACTGCAAAGAAGTCAAGCAGGAATTGTAAGGGTAAGCTGAAGTGCTGAAAAGATGGAAAAGTAACAGTTGTTTGGGCAGGGGGGCAGTGGTCCCTCTAAACTGCACTTATTCGTGTCAGCTGCTCATTGGGTCTGAAGCACTAGTCTGTGTTATGATCCTGTCATCGCATCTCTTGCTCACTGCTTCCTTCCCTGGCTCTCCCATTCACAATATCTCTTGCTCCTTAAGTCACTTCCTTCCTCCCACCACTCCTCTTCTGAGCCCTTGCTCACAGTCATAGGTAACTTTTTAAAGTATGTGTGTAGGTTTTATTTGTTTCCACAGTGATGCATATCTGCATATTACTTTGATATTGGTGCATATAACAAAGCTTGTCCCACACATGGATAGAAAAAGGTAGAGGGAACATTGGAGAGGAGGTCAAGATGTGATTTGATGAATAGAACCGTACTGCCCCAATTGTAACTTGAATGGGGCAGGTATAGCCAAGTGAGGAGGCTTCACCATTACCATTGTATGCTTCAGATGTGTCTAAGACCCAAGGGCACAAGTTTAAGGTGAGGAATAATTGGTTTAGAGGAGATCTGAGAAAAGCATCTTTCACCCAGACGTTGGTAGAAATATGGAACATAGTATCTGAGAGAGTGGGGGAGGCAGGTGCTCTCGCAACATTTAAAAAGCATCTGGATGAGCTCTTAGAATGCCAGGGCACAGTAACTATGGACCTAGTGCAGGTAGATGGGATTTGAATTAATTGATTCCTGTAACTCAAAGAGGATGAATTAGAAGTTGATAATTCCAATGCACTTGGTATAGTTGAAATTTCTTTCTTTGGCAGGGGATAAGAATTGAATAAAAGGAAGTACTGAATTGAAACTGCACTCACTGAAACTGGTGGCTGTGATGTCAAACAGACCTGTGTCAAAGAACCAGAAGGAAAGAAATATTGGAAGCACTTCCATGCTCCTCTTCAAGTAGTGCTATGAAACATGGTATTTACCCCTAAAAAGGCATGCAGGATGATGAATTAACAATATCTCTTCTGATATAAAAGCTAGCGTCTTTGTGTATCACTCCTTCAGTCACTACAGTGTTGAACTTCAGCCTAGAATATGTGTTCAGTCTATGCCTTGAGGCTTGAATCTACAATTTTGTGAATCTAGGGCAAGAATTACCACTTAACCATGACTAAAACTTACCAAGCTTTTATGTATCAATCAAATTGAAAACATAAAGGCAACAAGGCTTTCAGTTACAATTTGAAGTGTGGTGTTTGTCCTCTGTATATGACCAGCAGCTGAAGTGCTACATGTTTGTAGGTATGTGCTTACAAGAGTAATAAATTTAAAGTCAGGTGGCAGCAATATTTCATAGTATGCATATTATTGCCCATGTATGTGGTAAACATTGCACCTGATTAAAGTTGTATCGTCGTGTGGTTGGTTGGTTCACTGAGCTGGTTTGTTGTTCCGCAGACATTTCATTACCCTGCTGGGTAACATCATCAGTACAGCCTCTGATGAAGCATTGTTGTGTTTTCCCGCCTGGTATTTAAACTCTGGTGTCCGTTGAGCTGGATTACCTCACTTCCAGTTTCCCTTTGCAGTGGAGTATATATGGGATCCAGATCTATGTGTTTGTTGATAGCTTTCTTAGTGGAGAACCAGGCCTCTAGGAATTCCCATGCTTGTCTCTGCTTGTCCTGTCCCAGGATCCTGCTGTTGTCCCAATCGAACTGGTGGTTTTCCTTATCCATGTGGATGGAGACGAGTGAGTATTGGTTGTGTCTTTTTGTTGCAAGTTGATATTCGTGTACTCTTGTGGCTAATTTTCTTCCTGTCTGTCCAATGTAATGTTTGTCGCAGTCTTTGCAAGGAATCTTGTATATGATGTTGGTTCTGTCCATAGTGGGTAACGGGTCTTTGGTTCAGGTTAGCAGTTGGCGTAGGGTTGATGTGGGTTTGTGTCCTACTCTGATACCCAGTGGTCGTAGGAGTCTTGTGGTCAGTTCAGATGTGTTCTTGATGTATGGTAGCGTGATGAGTGTGTTAGGGTGTGCAGTATCTTCCTGTTGTTGTTTGTGTAATAGGCATTGTCTGACCCAGTTGTTCAGGTATCCGTTGTCCTTGAATACCTGGAGGAGGTACTCTTCTTCCATATCATCTTCCATATTTATTTCTGGGTCTTTCAAATCATGCACTCAGTGTCAAGGCTACCTACTAGCTGATGCCACTTGAAACTTCACTGATAATATTTTCAACAACTGCTAAACCGACGCACACATTGGCCAGAATTCAGCTCTCTCTAGCAAATTCTTTAAGGCATAGTCAGAGTTTGGCACTCCTCTCTAAGGAGCTGTTTAAACATGAAGAGCATACCTTCAAACAATTGACAAAATAAATTCAAGTTGGCCACATTTGATGACCTTGAGTTGGCTCCACTCTATCATTTTGGCAAAAGCTTTTAATGTGTTTAAGGAATTCTTAAAAAAAAACCTTCTGATGGCAAGATGAAAGTCTCAGTAGATATGAATTCAATAAAAACGTTGCATTTGAAAGAATGAAATTTCACTCTTTGATTTCTCTTCTAATGCTGCTTTTCTTCAAGCCATAAACCAATGTTGAAAGAGCAGGTAGGCGACTTGCTCTCAGACTAGGAGCCATATGGTACTAACTATGAGTTGCTGATGACTTCAAAGCTATCTTTATCAATAGGAACATATCACAATGCTGCTTCTGTTTTATTTTTCAGGTACTCATTGGCCATTTGTATACCACTCAAAAGCTCATCATTGAAAATCAGTGAAACTGGCATTCGAAGTTAACATGTATTTTGGAAGAGTAAATTTGTCTGTCAACATCTATTCAACTATCTGGAATTCATGGCATCCCAGCCATCAAAGAACTAAAGCTTCTTTCTCCTGCATATACCACAGATTAAAAGATTTTCATGATGGTGGTTTGGCATCATTGTAATCAGTTCATTTAATTTCACTGCTAATTCAGTTCTACAATACCAGTGATTGGATAACCAATATTGAATAACCAATATTTTATGATATTGGTGAAATGGTACAGGTCAGTTGTATACATTTTTGTATAATTCTAATGCTTTGGGTTCTTTAACAAACAGTGACAAGATGATATACGAATGGTTAAAAATTAAAACTGATTCTCTGCATAATCAAAAAAAAACCTGAAGATAAACTCACTTACAAAGTAAAGTTGAAGTGTATGCTCTTGGCTAATGTTTTGCACGAGAATAATCTCTACAAATATTTACATTGTTAGTGTCCTAATTTTGAAATGGTCCAATTTATTTATAACCTGCTCTTCGCACTATTGATGGAATGGTTCTGTACCAAAACACCCTGATACATTTTAAATAAATAACCTTACTGCATTATGAATACTGCATTTATTTGTAATTCACATCATTAGAATGTATATACAGTGACACCCAGTTTGGGTTCCGCCAGGGCCACTCAGCTCCTGATGTCATTACAGCCTTGGTTCAAACATGGACAAAAGAGCTGAATTCCAGAGGTGAGGTGAGAGTGACAGCCCTTGATATCAAGGTTGCACTCGACCGAGCGTGGCATCAAGGATCCCTCGCAAAACTGGAATCAATGGGTATCAGGGGCAAACTGTCCGGTGGTCAGAGTCATACCTGACACATAAGAAGATGGTTGTGTTTGTTGGCGGTCAGCCCCAGGACATCTCTGCAGGAGTTCCTCAGGGTAGTGTCCTAGGCCCAACGATCTTCAGCTGCTTCACCAATGACCTTCCCTCCAACATAAGGTCAGAGGTGGGGTGTTCGCCAATAATTGCACAATGTTCAGCACCATTCGTGACTCCTCAGATACTGAAGCAGTCCATGTTCACATGCAACAAGATCTGGACAATATCCAGGCTTGGGCTGACAAGTGGCAAGTGACATTCACGCCACTCAAATGCCAGGCTATGACTATCACCAATAAGAGACAATCTAACCACCATCCCTTGACATTCAGTGGTGTTACCATCACTGAATCCCCCACTATCAACATCCTGGGTGTTATCATTGACCAGAAACTCAACTGGACTCACCACATTAACACAGTGGCTACAAGGGCAAGCCAGAAGCTAGGAATACTGCAGTGTGTAACTCACCTCCTGACTCTTCAAAGCCTGTCTGCCATCTACAAGGCACAAGTAAGGAATGTGATGGAATAGTCCCCACTTGCCTGGATGAGTGCAGCCCCAACAACACTCAAAAAGCTTAACACCATCCAAGACAAAGTAGCCCGCTTGATTGGCAGTACATCCACAAGCATTCACTCCCTCCACCACCAACAATCAGTAGCAGCAGTGTGTGCTATCTACAAGGTGCACTGCAGAAATTCACCCAAGATCCTCGGACAATACCTTCCAAACCCATGACCACTTCCATCTAGAAGGACAAGGGCATCAGACATATGGGAACAGCACCACCTCCAAGTTCCCCTCCAAGTCACTCACCATCCTGACTTGGAAATATATCACCGTTCCTTCACTGTTGCTGAGTCAAAATCCTGAAATTCCCTCCCTAATAGCATTGTGGATCAACCCACAGCAGGGGGACTGCAACAGTTCAAGACAGCTCACCACCATCTTCTCAAGGCCAACTAGGAATGAGCAAGAAATGCCGGCCAGCCAGCGACGCCCACATCCCACAAATGAATAGAAAAAAAAGTAAATCACCAACACAAATGACTTAAATGCTTTGTCATTATACAATTCATTAGATCAGACCGCATTGGAATACTGCTTTAATTATGTTTTTACATCTCTTAAAGACCATAACCAAACTTTGTTTCACTTAGATTGCAAAGTTACTTCCTGTATATTTTTAGGAGTTGATATTCTTTGCTTTGTTTAATTACTAATCTGTAGTGAATAACCAATATTGTGCAATCCCAAAAATTGCATCATTCAAATACTCTTGAACTGGCCAGTGACTAACCAGCTCTAAGTTCATCATTGAAAGTACTTATGAAAGGCCTCAATTTTTCCATTTACTTAGTACAATACCTTTCAGTATCTAAGTCACATTTATTTAACAGATAATGACATGGTGCATGGAATGCATATTTGCTATCAATCTTACTTCCAAGCATTGCACTCAGTTTTTTTTTAATAAAACGTATAAAGAAATTTGTAAGAACAGAAAATCCAAAGCCAAAACGTTTGCACCTTTTAATTGATCTCTGCAAGAATTGTTTAAAAAAACTTAAGTTTGATGGAAGAATAATGCATTGGTGTACATGACGTTGCTATCCTTGTTAAACAGTATCAGAGGGCTCTTCTATCAGGTAGAAATTCTTGCAGATTGTGCACATCCATCCCACTCCAGGTATTGTACAGGTAGTTCTGCTATATTGTGTGTTTCTTTAACGCGAATTGGCTGAATAGTGGACATTATTTGGATAACTTGAACTTTCTGCTGTACAGTTATAGTGATTTTTCTGTAGTGATTTCCCTATAATGCGATTTTCTATAGTGTGAGGTTACACAAGAACACCAACTATTGTGTTAGAGGAGAACTACCTGTACTTTGAAAAGATGCAAAACAGCTATCCTAAAAATTTGGATTCTGGGCTATGTGACTAGAGCCATATGACATTGCAATGTACTTATTATTAAAGTTACACAAATCACTGGTTAAATGTCAGCCACAGTATTATACCCAATTCAGGGCACTACACTTAGGATGTGATATTATAGACTTCAGAACTGGAATAACTGTTCATGGACTGAATGAATCAACAAAAGATAAAGCATTACATACAGCAATAACTGTCTGGAATAAGCTGTTAAGGAGCAAAGACAAGGTGTTGCACAGACTCAAGCAATTAGCCATATCTTGGCAAGATTATATACACAAAACTGCTTTGACACCTGGCTGATAAACTGGATGCTTTGTGGCCACGAAGGACAAGGATTGTCCTGCAGAAAAATTTAGGGAGTTAATTTAAAGAAGATTTCTCAGAGTACAACGGAACCTTGATCAGATGGGCCAATGAGTGGCAGATGGAGTTTATCATAGAATCCCTACAGTGTGGAACCAGACCCTACAGCCCAACAAGTCCACACCAACCCTCAGAGCATCCCACCCAGACCCATCCCCCTATAATCCACCTAATCTACACATCCCTGAACACTACAGGCAATTTAGCATGGCCAGACCACCTAACCTGCACATCTTTGGACTGTGGGAGAAAACCAGAGCACCCGGAGGAAACCCACGCAGACACAGGGAGAACATGCAAACTCCACACAGACAGTCACCCAAGGGTGGAATCGAACCCGGGTCTCTGGCACTGTGAGGCATCAGTGCTCAGCACTGAGCCACTGTGCTGCCCCTGAATTATGTGTGATGTTGCATTTTGGTAAGGCAAACCAGGCAAGACTTATATACTTAATGGTAGAGTCCCAGGAAGTGTTGCCTAACAAAGAGACCTTGGAGTGCTGGTTCATAGTTCTTTGAAAGTGGAGTTGCAGGTAGACAGGGTAGTGAAGAAGGCATTTGGTACATTTGCCTTTATTGGTCGGTGCATTGAGTACAAGAGTTGGGATGTTATGTAGCATCTGTACAGGGCATTGGTTAGGCCACTTTTGGAATACTGTGTTCAGTTCTGGTCTCCCCGCAATAGGGGAGATTTTGTTAAAATTGAAAGGGTTTAGAAAAGATTTACATGCCTGTTGCCAGGATTGGAAGCACTGAGCTAGGAAGAGGCTGAATAGGCTGGGGCAATTTTCCCTGGAGCATCGGAGGGTGAGGGTGACCTCATAGAGATTTATAAAATCATGAGGGGCATGGATAGGGTGAATAGCCAAGGTCTTTTTCCCAGGGTAGGGGAGTCCAAAACTAGAGGGCATAGGTTTAAGGTGGGAGGGGAAAGATTTAAAAGGGAGCTTAGGGGCAACTTTTTCACACAGAGGGTGGTGTGTGTATGGAATGAGCTGCCAGAGGAAGTGGTGGAAGCTGGTACAGTTGCAACGTTTAAAAGGCATCTGGATGGGTACATAGGAAGGGTTAAGAGGGATATGGGCTAAATGCTGGCAAATGGGGACTAGACTAATTTAGGATATCTGGTCAGCATAGATGAGTTGGACCAAAGAGTCTATTTCTATGCTGTACGACTCTATGACTATAATCACAGGAAAGCTGTGACTTCGAACAGTCAGTGCCAAATGTAACAAGAAACCCTGTTGCAGATTTACAGTAACTTGGATGAAAGACTTAAAGAAATCATCAATATATCACCTCAGAGACTGAAGGACGAAAATCTGTACAACAATCAAATGCTAGAACAACTCAACAGCAGAACTTTGAAGAACAACACTGCACAATGATTGAAGACTGGACACTCCCTCTCGTGATAGATTACTGTTGGTTGAAGTCCTGGCCAGATTTCACCATTAATCAGGTAATAGCTAAGTTGGATCGTAGGTTTATACTTGCTTACTTGAGGGGTCTTATATTTAGACCCTACCATTAAGTATATAAGTCTTGCCCTGATTTGCCTTACCAAGATGCAACATCACACATTTATCTAAATTAAATTCCATCTGCCACTCCTCAGCCCATCAGCCCATCTGATCAAGGCCCCATTGTACTCTGAGAAATCTTTTTCTTTAGATTAACTCCTTAAATTGAATTTGAATTATTGTTTCAGTACTTGATTGTATGAGAGATTTGTTAATAAGTAGCCGAGTTAAAGGTAACTTGTGCTGACTTAACTCACAACAAGGAAGAATGGCTAGGCCTTGGAGAAGGAATTGGGAGATTTATCAGAATGATACTGGAATTAAGTTATGTGGAGAGACTGAAGAAGCTGTTACTGTTTTCCTTCAAGCGTAAAAGATTAAAGGACAATTTAATTATGGTATTAAAAGTCATGATGAGTTTTCCAATACAGTAACAAAGGGGAAACAACTCCCAGTAGCATAAGGGGCAATAACTGCAAGGCATAGACTTGAGGTAATTGAGAAAAGAATCAGACAAGAATTTTTTTTATTATGCAGCAAGTGATTATGATCTGGAATACATTGCCTGAAAGGGTGATGGAAATAGATTCAACAGTAACTTCCAAAGGTGAATTGGATATACTCCTGAAAACACAAAATTGGCAGGAAGTAAGTGGATAGTTGTTTCAAAGTGATGATACAGGCATGCTGGGGTTGAATGGCTACCTTCTATTTTGTAGATTCCAAAAGAAGGACAAAAATTATGATCAGTTCTCCTTGGCTTCTGATGCAGACCCCAGGGCTTATAAAACATTCAGTGACCTTCAAGATGGTTCCAGCAGAGTAGGCAGCATCTGGGCTTCTGTGCCCAGGCTTATCCTCTTCCTCTACATGTTTTATTTTCTTTTTCTT